TTTTTTAAAAAAAGCACTTTTAGGTCAAAGTAGGTATTTCTAGACCCATCATTGAAGAGAAAAGAAGATAGGTAATGTTAATATTGTGGACTAAATGGTATTTACCGTCCTCTTTTATATTCTTTTAATTAGGAGAGTTTGTTTCTCCAATCTGTTTGCCAGGGAAAGATGATAAAATAAGTTTACTCTCCAAATGTATAACTGCTGGTTGGGGAACAACTGAACCAAATAGTGAGTATATTTACCACCTCTTCCAACCTGAGAATCAAATATATACGATGTCCAAGTATAGTCTGCTTAGTTTACAGTCTGTCTCTAATTTTAATAGAAATAATCGTGGAAAAAGTCTTCTTTATAATGGATCTAAGAATGACTACTTAGGTTCTAGACCATCATATTCATCAGTGCTAGTTCATAGATACTTATAAAAACTTGTATTGAGGAATATACACAGATTTTTAAAAATCTGATAAATATTTGTATGTCTCATTTATGTGTAATTTCTTCCCAATTTCACTGTACATACACACACACACACACACAAATGTTTTCATAGTTACTATTACTATGAAAACCCACACTTGAAGGTATGATCGTGTCCCTAAAAATGTGAGGCATTTTTTGGAGATGATAGGCTGGTATAAATTATAGTAGGTAAAAAGAAATATGAGAACAACTATAAAGATTACGCCCATTACTTTGATCTAATTTTTACCATATTCTATAACTGAGTTAACAAGATAAAAATATTTTTAAAAAAAGTAAATTGTAATGCAAATTTTTTTCTCTTTGGGCACATGCACTTGCCAGAGAAAGAGAGAGAGAGAGAAAGAGAGAGAGAGAGAGAGGGAGGGCAAGAGAAAAAAGAGAGAAATCACCTGGAACAGGAGAGAGTCACACTACAATCCCTTCTCTTTTCATTCTCTCTTTCAAGCCACTTGGTTTGGAACTTGAACCTTGAGGTTGATCATGTGGAATCCAGCTGCCTTAACCACCATACCATCAGCTGGTCCAATCAGAATGTAATTTTAATCATCAGCTTCTAGACAGTTTTAGCAGTTAAATATTATATCTCTTCAGCAAAAGAGAAGTCCAAAGAATGACAGCACCATGAAACCAATGGAGTAAAACATAGACTGAATATTTTATAGTGAATTGTATTACTTTCTTCATCAACAACTCATGTGGGAATAAACTTTGTCCTTTTCCTTCTATAGAGTGATTCTTTTTAAAAATATTTTTAGGACTGTAAGGACAAAAAACCTCATAAAATTGTGTTGGTGTTTTTGTTGCATATGCCAAATAGAGTGACAACATCGGCTTTTACAAACCATTAAACAGCATCATTTCATTGCACATAGAGGAGAATGAGTGGAATTTGTCTCTTCGAAATGGTCTTTCTTGAGGGCTACTTTTGTTTTATCCTGTCAAAACATTTGACTAGGTTATATGTGTTTTTATCCCTTTTCTATTAGAAGATGAATTTTCCAAAACTGTGCAGCAAGCAAGGGTGCCACTGATGAGTATGACATCTTGTCGAAGCTACTGGGGTCTGGATATTAGAGACACCAACATATGTGGAGGAGCTGCTGGGTCATCCTCTTGCATGGTAAGTCAAGGATTGCATGGATGAGTCCAGGAGTTTTCCTCTCAATGTCTCATGAATGGGTGTTTGCTGACCATAAAGAAGTGTATATGGAGGGTATCTTTTTTAATGGAAGGTGGAAAATTGCTGAATTGCTTGCTTTAATATTTAAAAAATGGTTTTATTTTTTATTGTCAGAGGTCATATGTTCTCACTGGGGATGGCGGGGGGCATTGGAGGGGAAGCCCCAATGGAGTATGGACACAATACAGTCATTTTCCCTCCATTTCTCCTTACCATGAGGATTTGGGGCACACACACATGCACGACCCGTTTTTCAAGTCACCAGGATCAGAACTTGAACTGTGTTCAGCCATATGGGATCTGGTTCCCTTTACTACTCTGCTATGGAACTGGCCTGGTAAATTTCTCTAAAAAATGAGTGAATTGGGATTGCTGATTTGATACTTGAACTGGATTCTCAAAAGGAATCACTCATTCATCTACTTGGCTGAACTATGTGAATTTGAGAATATTCAACCATTATTGACCTAGTAAAATGATAATATCTTGCGATTAAGCTTTTGGGGCCAGCAGTTGGTGTAATGGCTATGTTGTTGGACTCCCATGTAGTTGACTGCGGGTCGAGTCCCAGATCTGATGGCTTAAACTCATGCTGGGTGTGTGTGCATGTGCGCCCAATATCCCGAGAGGAGAATGGAGGAGAAGGGATTGCGGTGTGACATTCCCCCGGGGGTGATTTCTTGCTTTCCATCCCTCCATCTCTCTGGCGAGCACACATGCCTTATAGCAGAAACTTCTCAAAAAACAACAACAACAACAACAAAGAAAACCCTTTATAACTGGATTAGGGCAAAGCACCTATTTCTTTTCTTTTTATTTTATTTTATTTTTTTTTTTGGAGAGGGTTTTTTGCTATAGGGCACATGCGCTCGCCAGAAAGAAACAGAGAGAAACAGAGAGATAGAGAGCAAGAAATTGCCCCCTGGGTGGGATGGCCACGCCGCAATCCCTTCTCCTCCATTCTCCTCCCGGGATCTTGGGCACACATGCACAGTGTGAGTTCAAGCCACCGGGCCTGGGACTCGAACCACGGTCGACTACATGGGAGTCCAGGGACATAGCCATTACGCCAACTGCTGGTGCCATCAAAGCACCTATTTCTAATATCACTGAGCACATGAAGTATTCCTATAACTGGAAGTCATCCTGTAGTTGTTTATAGTTAGTAGATGCATGAAGCTTTCTGCCTGATAGAGTCTAATTAAATTAATTTACACTAGACATATCTTCAGTTCCTCTTGAAAGTAAGAAACTGTAGTCCAATTTAGATATCTGTGTCCATAGTTCTCTGTTCTGTTGAGAGCAGAAATCAAGAGAGATAAGAGACTGGCTCTTTCCTGGTGTGACCGCCCTGTGCAGTTGGGGTTAGCATTAACCATGAATTATGCAGTCTGGAGGACATCTCTTTTTGCTGGTTGCAGGGAGATTCTGGAGGACCTCTGCAGTGTTCCCTGGATGGGCAATACGTGCTGGTTGGCATTGTGAGCTGGGGCAGCAGTAACTGCCATCCTGCTGCACCAACTGTCTTCACCAGAATTTCTGCCTACAGGGATTGGATCACCTCGGTCACCGGAGGAGAAGTGTGATCAGCAAAAGAGCAGCAGGGTGTCTATAAATGGGAAGGGAAATACCTAACAGTATGCCTGAAACATGAGTCTCTCGCCAGTACTACCAAAGTCACTGTCATTTCCACCCACTCTTGCCATTTGGGAGGTTGCTTTTGGAGTGTATGTATGTTCAAAATTAAATTAAATGTTGGTCATAGAACATTGATGTTGGCTCATGCCTTCTGGGAACTTACAATCTGAACTGGCATTTAATTTTTATCTCACATTTCATGCATATGCCATTTTTTAAGAGATAGTGGCTTGCCTTTTTCTCTTTCTCTCTCACTTTCTTTCTCCTTTATTTCTTCCTTCCTTCCTTCCTTTCCTTTCTTCTTTCTTCCTTCCCTTCCCTTCGCTTCTCTTTTTTTTTTCTTTTCTTTTCATTTCATTTCCAGATGGTACATGTGCTCAAACACAACAGAGAGGCAGACAGAGAGAGGAGAAAACTCCCCCATGGAGTGTGGCAACACCACAACCCCTTCTCCTTGATTTCTCTATCCCGTTGGGATTTTGGCCACATATGCATACTCTCGTACCTCATGTGTTTCTTAAGACACTGGGGCAGGGATCTGAACCAGAGCTGGCCATGTGGGATATGACTCTCTTAACTAGGCTATGGGGCTAGTCTTGTCATGTGTTTTGAATATTACCATACATTTTTACTGTTTTCTTCTTCTTTGACAAAAACTGGAAGAGATGAAGGGCAGAATTATTCAGTCTATAACAGTCTTATTTCTTCTCACAGGAAATAGGTCAGACACTGTGCCCTGACAACAGGAAAGGTCCCTGTGAGTTTCACAATTCAAATGAGCAATGGACATTTAAGAGGTTATTTATTAGGCAACTCATTTGATCTTGAAAAGTTTAGGATCTGTACTTCAATTACTTAAAGCACTTAATTTATTTGGAACTCATTTATTGATAACCTTATCTCACTAGCTGTAGCCAAGAATTGGGAAGAAAGGAAACCCTCTGAGCCAGAAGTCTAGGTGCCAAACTCCATTACTGAAATAGAGCATATTGAATGATTATGAGACTGAGGCAACTCTTCTCTTTTTATTTTACTTTTTATTTTTCAGGAGTGTTATAAACTTTACTTCTAGACCTTTTGCCTCCATTTGACCTAAGACGACACAACTATGAAATACAGAAAATACAGACATCACTACAGACAAGTTAATGTGCTCACGTGTACATAAAATGACCATTATCTAATGACACTTGGGTCTTAGAAAGTGGCTATTTCAACACTAAAATTTCTGTAAAATGTTTTCATGAACATGTATAAATACATTGTCTTTCAAAGGTAAATAGTATCTCTACCATATTCCAAGACAAGAATGCCCTCAAATATATGAAATAAACCCAATTTATAATGCCTTATGTACTTTCAAGGTACTTAATTTTTAAAAAACCTAAAATTAAAAAATTAAATTTACCAATTCCTTCTAGATTACAATTTAAATATAGAAACAAGCACTAAAGAACAGATTTTTTTTTTTTGCCAGACTTGTTAAGCATGTATACATTTGGCCAACTGATTTTCAACTTTAAACCATATTCTCTATTTACACTGCATATTTTGGTAGTTAATAAATACTTGATTTAATGTAATTCCTATTATTTAATACCTTTACTCAAAAGGTATTAAAATCTTGGTATGAGAAAGCATCTGTGTACCCATCAACCAACTGTTTTACACAAGAATATTTACATGTCATGAAATCTGTTCATTCCCATTGCCATTTAAGTAATTTCTATAGCCTGGATACCCAAATGTCCATTAATAAAAATACGAGTCAGTACTCATCTGAACATGGCCAATTTTTCCAAGTCATTTATTGAAATCTCTCGTTCTATGTGCATGGTAGAAAGGTGTGCACTCCCCAGTTCCCAAGACAGTTTGGATCCTCTCGAGTAAATGGCTTTCAATCAGTATGCTGCCAGACACTTGAGTCTCTTCTAAAATTAGAAGCTGGCCAGTTTCCAAGTAAATAGAAAGAGAAAATACTTACAGAGAATGACAAAAATTTAGCGTGGCAAAAGCAGTGACTTATTTACAACTATGTGTGTCAAGGTTACAATAGAAACACTAGTGATGCCATCAGAACGAAAGCAATGATTTATTGGTAATAACAATGAATGAAACATTGACAGTCTCAGTTATCCCGGAGCTGTAGGTCTGATTGCAGTGTCTTCTGTATCTTAGTGGCTTTCTCCTTTATTGCCAACTACTCATTTGAAGTCATTCATATTTGTTGCCTGGACTAGAGTACCAATAAAATTAAGATACGGAATTCTTGTCCTTTCTTCTTCACCTTGATTGGACTGAACAAATATAGTTACACTGTTAACATTCTGAAACTTCACATAAGGAAGTGGAATGATGGCATCTTCTTTAATGTCCTCTGTCAGTTCCAGACCTTGAATTGGTTCACTTCTTTCTGCCTCTTTGAAATCGATTGATCGGAGTGGGTTGATAAAAATTTTTACATATTTAGGACCCTGGCCATTATCTGGTCCTTGAAATTTCATGGAATAAAGCTTAACAGGTTGATTGAATGCCACAGTAATAAGTAGCTGTTTATCGCAGTCAGATTCCAAGAAGCTCAGGTCTTTTCGCAAACAGTTGTCAAATCCATTTTCATTGCTTTCATTAAGATACAACCAGCTTTGTTAATAAATGGAATTAAATCCATATAGCCTTTTGGAATATTTGTGTCTTCATTGCTTCCAGGGTCATTTTCTAACTGTTGTTTGATTTTTTTTCCCTTCTAATCCCATAGCATCTGCTCCCTGATACTGATCAATTCTCACTTTGTTTTAGAAAAACAAAAATGTAGGTGTTGCTGACGTCTCGTTGGTGGCAGCTGTTCCCTGACACTGATGTACATCTACTTCTAAGAAAACAGCCTGAGGATATTTATTACTCATAGAACTGAATGCCAGGGCAATCCTCCAACATGGTCCCCACCCTCTCATGGGAAACTTGACCATGGTGAGTCTAGAGCCCATGTCACTCAGCTCGGCCGGAAGTCCGGGTCGCTCCAGACTGGCTTCACTCTCACCATTCTCACAGAGAGCCTTGCAGGGTGGCTGCGATGCCACGGGCTTTGAAACTCAAGGAGAAGACCCAGGAGAGGAATGGGATAGGCTGAGGAAAGCCGAGGCCTGGACAGAGGAGGTGGCGACCGGGATGGCTTCTCCTGGGGCTCTCAGTGCCAAGTCACTGGGGAGTCTACTTTTTAAAAATTTATACATGTCTACCAAAAGTTATAATTTTGTTTCTATATTATTTCAACAAGAGTATATGGTTCAGCTTCAGGAAAACACATATAATAAAGTGAGACAGCAACTCAGGAAGTAGGCAGAAAAGTTATATAAATACATACACACACACAATTTCACAAAGCATAGCACAGGGGTTTTTTCCTATATAATTCAATATCACAATCAGATTATAACATTTGAATTTTGTAAACTTGCCATTTCTATAGGACAACAATAATTAAAAACTAGTCATTTTATGTGAGGGAGCTTCAATGAGTTCATGAAAAAGTGGAATTAGATACAAGTATATTTTGGTACAATTTTTTTTATAGTCTATGCATAGCTTTTCCATGAGCTTTTTGAAGACTTTCTGTGTGATTCAGCCTAACAACTATAATAATTCTAATAATGCATTGAGATGTTTAGTATATGTTCTTGAGAAAAATTTTGACCTAAAAAATGATTAAAGCCAAGAGTTTATACATGGAAAACTTTGCTGCAAGGAGAAAAAGAAATATGTTCCCCAAATGTATTTTTTCCTAATTAAAGTAGGCAATAGCTGAGGCGTCACTGAAATTATTATTTTTCTTTTTAGTTTTGCTATTGGATGCATGCATGCACTCACCAGAGAGAGAGGAGGAAAAATCGAAAGAGGGAGAAAATGAGAAATCATCCCCAAGGGGGATGTACACCTGCAGCAATCCCTTCTTCAACATTCTCCTCTTGGGATTTTGGGCACATACTACACACACATGGCATGTTTCTCAAGTTGCTAAGTTAATCAAGCCTCAAGTTGCAGTCAGCCACGTGGGATCCAGCTTCCTTAAACCAACATGCCACGTGCTGGCTCCACTGAAATTAATTTTTTGAGCTCATATATTTGTTCCATCAAAAAAAGAGAGTAGCCCCCAATAGGGTTGTCATATAGCTGTCCACCCCTAGTCTCAGGAAGCCCAGGGCACAAGCATATGTGCTCACTTGGCATGTACAGGAAGGGCCTCGGCCCTTGAGCCCAGCACATTCCTGTGTGGGGCCAGCACTTCCTTGGCGTGTTCTGTTACCACTGCAGTGCCAGCTGGCCCAGTTAGTCTAATGAACCTTCATTTGAAAACTGGAAGGCAAGAATGAGCTCAAGATATTTTGGCAATGGTATTGGGAAATAAAAATAACCTCTTTTCCTACTCTCTTTCTCCCCTAACCTTCTCCCTCCCCCCAGGCTTTTGCTATAGGGCATGTGTAATTGCTAGAGAGACAGAGACAGTGAGAGGGAAAGTGAGAAATAACTACCCCAAGGGGCAATGGCCACACCGCAGCATCTTCTCCTCTATTATCTCCTGGGAATTTGGGCACACCTGCATACACACCTGGCTAGATTTTTCAAGTTGCCAGGTCTAGAACTCGATCAGTGATGGGCCTGTGGGAGTCCAGCACCTTAACTACCATAGCACCTGCTGGCTGCCTCTCCTAACATCTTTCTTTTTACTTCTCTTATTTCTGGCTTTCATTCCCCTTCCCTCTTTCTTCTCTCCCTCTACATTCTCTCAATCCCTTTCTCCATATCCTCTCTCTCTTTCAACCAAATTCCCTCTCTCCTGTTTTCCTTTCCCCGTTCCTAATCTTCTCTCCCTCTCTTTCGCTCAACCATCTGCTCAACCATTCTCTTTCGCCCTCTCCTTTCTCTTGTGACTGCTACAGAGAAGCGTTACAGATGCCCTAGTATTTACTAAAATCCCCTCATATGAATATTGATCTAAACGTTTTGCTTTCATTAAATTATACGTTTTGATAAGAACTCTGAGGGAAATGATAT